GGAGGCAGCTGATCAATGATTCTCTCTCATCATTGATGTTTCTATCTCTCCCTCTTTCTTCCTCTTTGAAATCAATAAAAATGTATTTTTTTCAAAAGAATATTATATACATAGTAGAGGCCCGATGTACAAAATTCGTACAAGGGGCTAAGCCCTTGCAACCCCAGCTGCCTCTGCCCTCGCAGCCCTGTCTTTGTCCAGCAGGTCATCCGGACAGTCATTCCGCTGTTTGGTCTAATTAGCATGTTAGCTCTTTATTGTATAGAATATAATGTAAAGACATTTATTTATTTATTTATTTTTTTTACCAGCGAACATCACATAGTGCCCACTCATGGTTTTGTTTCATCATGCACTGATACTTGGAAAATACTGGTTCACTGAGTTAGTTATGCAGATCTTACAAATGTTGACACATGTCATTACACAATAGCAAAAATCAAATTCCTTAATATCACTACTGATGCTCCTGTTGATGAATAAAAGTTTTCCAAAATTGCTTGTAAGCTTGTTTTATCATCGGCAACAGATAGTGTCAGTTGTTTCTCTTGAAGTTACAGGATCACTTTGTTCTTTTTCCAGTCTGGTTTCATTTCATTCCAAATACCCAAATCTGATCAACCACAGTTTTCCCATCTTTTTCTTTAAAGAAAAATAACATGGTGCTTCCTGGGAAAAGCAGCTAGTCGGAGGCTCACAGTTCAATCGCACAAGTGCTTTTCCTTCAGACCATCACACTTGAGCATGCTGCAAAAGCGCTCCGCGCAGTCTTCCGGCTCACCACCCAGAATATTGAAAGGCATGTGCACCAGGGTTGAAGTTTAATATAATCAATTTTACTGCCTTATCAAAGGACAATCTCCAGTGAAACTCACTTTAAAAAAAGGACCCCCTGGTGGTAACGTAGGGAATACATCGACTACCACTTTGACTTGACTGCCTTTGTTCAGCAGCCTGAAATTGGATCCAATTACACCACCTCCTCAGCTGTGTGACTTAGGACACGTTTATTTAATTCCACTGTGCCTCCGTTTCCTTGTCTACAAAACATCGGTGAAGTACTATCCCACCCTCATGGGTTTCCTGCAGCAAAGGCAGGAAGTAAAATGTTCAAATGCCATGCACAATACCTTGACACAATTGAGTACCCAATATATAGAAGATGGACTTCAAATATACAAACTATAGTATTGATCAGAACAGCACTTCAGATGAACAGAGTCTGACTATCGTTCCAACCCACTGAGGCGTTGACTGTCAGAGTTAGAAGTGAAAACAGTTTTGTGAAAACTTTGTCTTTTTATCTGTGAAAACACCCTATTGTGTTGCAATGCCTTGCCTGTCTGGGTCTCAGTTTCTCTACTTCCAGAATGAGAATAGAATGTCCCTTTATCTCAGCAGAAGACAGGCAAAAGCAAGGTGGCCCAGACTATAGGAAGAGCTTATTACTCAAACATTTTCTGGGCTTTAACTATTAATGGGACCTGATGGTTACATACATGCCCCCAGCTATTCTCAAGTAGAATGTCAGTGCATGATACTAAGCACATTTCTTGAGCACTCTAGGGGTCTTTGAGAAAGGCATTTTGTGTAGTTTCTTATACCCGACAATAAATCAGTGTGTACATTTTCAGTGATATACAATAACCCAAAAGCTAAGCGTGGATAGTTATTTCTAGTTGATGAAATAAGAGTTGATTTGTGTTGTTTAGGTTCTTCTACCATCGGCATTTTCTGCTTATTGTTTTAAAGTTGTTTTTAAAAATTCTTTAAAGGTAAGAAAAATCACAGCAAGCTTTGTTTATGGCATTTTTATTGCAATTCTGCACAGCATTCAAAATTTCAAAGGATTCGTGAAAATTTGAAAACAGTCATCTAAGAAAAGGAAGAAAATAGGCTCCATTGTGGTTTTAACCATTCATCATACACAACTTTTAGGAAAGGAAGATTGCCTACCAAAAGCTAGTATTTAAATTCCATAATGTCAGGGCACTGGGCAGTAACACACTGTGATTAACCATGTGCTAAAGCGCTGCCACCCATCGGGCATCTGCTCTCGTCTTAGCCAAGAGCACTCAGGTCAGCCATGGAGCAGCCACTGGTGCAGCACACAGCCTGTAGGTCCCACCGTGGCTGTCCACGCCCAAAACTTTCCTCCCCTGCGGAATCCACCTGCCCAAGGTTTTACGGTGTGCTTTCCTCAGAAACCTTGTGTTCCTTTGGAAGCTGGAAGTAGCTTCCTCTCTCAACTGAAAGGAAGAGAGAAAGAGAAAACAAACAAACAAACAAAATCCCCACTTCCTTTAACGGACCCTGATAAGGAAGGCAGCAACCAAGTTCTACTCTTGGCACAAAGCACTGGATTTCTGAAAGGAAATTGAATCCTACACATCACTTTTTTTTCATGTTGGTCTTGGTTCAGGGAGATGAGACATTTTGGGAAGCACTCAGTCCTTGCCAGCCTCCTCATTTTATGGAGGAGGAGACACGAGTGCAGAGAGGGGTGATGTAGCCAGAGCCACTCAGCTAGACCGTAGCCAAGGCAAAGCTTGACTTGGGTTGTACTGGCCACCTCTGCTCTGCAACCAGCAGCTTCCAGAGATATTAGTTAGAGGCTATGAACAAAAAACACACCAACACAAAAAAACCCTGTGTGCGCCCTGGAGATTTAAACCTCTTGCCTGAAAATAAAAAGCGGGGCCCACTGTTTTTATCAGGGTGTTGTTTCCAAAGTCCTCTCTCACTTTAACTTGGTTCAGACTTACTCATCAGCACCTTGGCACACTGGCAAGCACCCAGAACTCATGTATGAATGAATGCTGATTGGTAAAACGATAATTGATCAAATAAATAATATATGAAAAATACTCTGAAACTATGAAAGGTTAAATAAATAGTATTACATCAGTGGTGTTAAAAAGAGAGAGCCTTATACAGACATCCATTCCACTGCTGTGTGTGTCATAGATAGTTTGAATGTACTTTTTCTAGTGTATTTTGATTTTCTACTCCAGAGATGGACAAATTATGTAAATCTAGTAAATTTATGCTTACTCTCTTGAGATTAAAAACCCTTACTCTTTCTGTTAATATCTAGTAACTCTGAACCACTCAATATTAAGGTGGAGGTGGTAAGTTCATAATTTTTCAAGAAATTCACCTACCAAAATATGAAAACTATGGGTCTTTAAAAAATACTTTTGTTTATCAAAGTCATTTTACTTATTTAAATATATATATTTTAACTTTTTAAATATATATATATCTTTATTGATTTCAGAGAGGAAGGGAGATGGAGAAAAAGATGGAAACAACAATGATGAGAAAGAACCATTGATTGGCTGCCTCCTGCACACCCCTTACTGGGGATTGAGCCTGCAATCCAGGCATGTGCCCTTGATCAGAATCAAATCCAGGACCCTTCAGTCTGCAGGCCGACTCTATCCACTGAGCCAAAATAGCTATGGCTACTACAGTCATTGTAGACTAAAGAGAAACCTTTAAAATCATAGGTGGCAGCATTTATTATGTAATCATGTTTTCCTTTTTTAACTTTTTATGATTAGACATAAACACAACTGATTATTAAAATAGAATCTTAAATAAATTCTGCCTCACACTTTATATAAGACTAGCAGAAAGAATACCAGTCAAACTTCTAAATGACTTGGATTAAAAAAAAAATGAAGAAATTCAGAGAAGTCAGTCCCCTCACTATTTCTGGAACACGGTAGGTTCATTCCCAAAATTCTGGTCAGACAATTCCTACTGCTGGAATTCCCACTAGAATTCCATTTCACCCCACTCGTCATATCTCCACAATACTGTCATTTATTACAGCAATCCACCATCTCCCTTTTCCTACCGGAGGCACAGTGTAGAATAAACAAAGACCTCAGTTCTTGAAGGCAGGCAGACTTGGTTTGCTCCCTAGACACATTGCTTACTACCTGGGTGAATAATTCTGCCTTCGGTAAAATGGTAAGTGGTGGTAAGAGGACTTACTTCACAGAATTCTTATCGGACGAGTGAAAGAAATGTTGCCCGTGAAACTACCTGGAACTTCATAAGTGCTCAATGACAGCTAGATTCCTTCCCTCCAACATTATTTAGACCTGCCTGAATTCCAACTTATTATATCCTACAATTATCCAGGTGTGAAAATCTTGCAACTCCAACATGCTCCTTGAAATCATGTGCTTCTCTGTCCCCCATAGCACCTGCTGGAGATGCTGAGCTTTCATTTATTGCTGGTGGAAAGGAAAACTGGCACAGTCGGTTTTGGAAGACAGTTTGGGAGTTACAAATCCAAACATACTCTTACCATATGGTTCTAGCAATCATACTGGTATTTTTCTCAAAGGAGTTGAAAACATGTACATGGGTATCATAGGAACTTCATTCTTAATCGCCTAAATTGGGAAGCAACCGAGATATCCTTCAGTAAGTGAATGACAATTAACTGTGGTACATCCAGACAAAAAGGCAAAACTATTGAGACAGGATGGGGGAGGGAAGGGATAAATGGGCATGGCACAGATTATTTTTAGGGCAGAGAAAACACTCTCAGAGAAAATACTGCACTTAATGAATGTGTGTCATTATACATTTGCCCAAACCCATATAATATATAACACTAAGTGAACCCTAAAGTAAACTATGGACTTTGTGTGATTATTATGTCCGTATAAGTTTATCAGTCATAACAAACTTACCACTCTGGTGTTGATGTTGATAACTGGAGAAGCTATGCGTTTCTCAAAGCAGATGGCATATGGGAAATCTCCATACCTTCCTTTCAATTGTGTTATAAACATAAAACTGCTCCAAGAAAATAAAGTTTTTAATTTTTTAAAATTTTATGGTAACTAAAATACGGTCAGTTGCTCAGGATGCAGGAAGTATAAAATAGCTTTATTTTTCAATTAGGCTCAATGAGAGTAGAATATGTGAAATTATTTTAATGATCAAAAATACATAATAAAAAGAAACACTTTTTTACCAATGAAATTAAGTTTTTATTTTGTTGCACAGGGTGCTATGGAAAGTCCAACCTTTCAGAAAGACAAGGAGATGTATTACAATAGACTTCTACCAGTAGGAAATGTATGTTCCTTATAACATGACCTAAGATCTCAGTCTACCTAAAAGTTGCCTTGCTTTTGTTTAACGGATGGCTCCACAGAAATAGAGATGTTGAAGAAATTGATACTTGTGAAAGGTAGTTCCCACTGTTGCACGGATTGTATTCTTAGTGTTAAATTTATATGCCTTGTCTTGTCCTCCTCACGTAACATGCTTTATAGGCCATACTGTCCTTCAGCCTCAGTTAACAAAAACCAGGACTTGTTGAAACAAACAGCATGGAACAGACTGTTAGCAATCTATGTTTGGAGGAGTCACTGCCTCCTACTCCTTCTATTTCCACAAGCTTGCCCTAGAAGTCATTATAAAATAACATCCTGATGCAAACTATAGATCAGGGACTTCCTGTTTTCTCTGCGGGCCCACTTAAGTCTGGGCAGATTCCGGGCAGGCAGAGGAGGGAGCCCTGATGTGTCCCAGACTAACTCTTCTCCCTGAACTGCGAGTGTCATGCCTGCTGGCCAAACAGTGCAATTCTGACTTTTGCTGTCATGTCTTTTGCTTGTCAAATAGTCTAATAAAGTTCTATAGCTCAGCTCTCAGATCTAAGAGGATGAATATTGATTTAAAGTTGAGTATGAAAATCCAGTATTTTCTTAATACTAGCACCTGCATAATTCACAAACCTTGGAAAACAGAAGATTTAAATGTGTATAGAACTTAGACTTAATAAAGATTTTTGTTTAAGTAATTCTAATAACTTCTAAGCTTTTCTTCTGAAGGAATAATAATTTTCTAACATACATAGACATTTTATAAGTATCTATGTGTACTTGGAATACGATTAAGAAATGCAGTAGGAGTATCTTTCAAAAATTAAGAAAATCCTAACAATACCCTTACAATTAGCTTGGATAAAAAACTAACAACATATCTCTGGAATAAAGGTTGATTAAATTTCTATTAAGTTCAAATAGAAGTTATACATTAAATATTGTTTTCTAAAATCAAAATCCAATCAGACTATTAGATATTAAACATTGTTCCTTAAAAAAAAACAATTAACAAGAAAGGATATCAGTAATGACAATTTATGCTGGTTGATTTGACCTTGGTGCAAGCAAATTATCTATCACATCTCTCTGGAAAAGAAAAAAAAGTCACACAATTACAATGCAATAAAATACAAATTAAGAGGTAAAGTAGTCTTTAAATTGTCATTTATAAGTCATATATATATGTTAGTGATACACATATCTTATCACTAAGATTGTAAAAGGGAAAAAATCCTTAGTATAAATCTGCTCTTTTCTATGAAAGACTCCTTCACTGAAGTTTGATAAGCAGTTTTATAAGAATTCAGTAAAGGGACAATTCTGGCAGCTCCTGATTAGCTTAATGCATAAAGCTGAGTTTTCTCATCTGTAAAATAACTTTTAATCTTAATATTATCTTAGGCTTTTTCATGATCTGTAATACAGTATTTGATTTAGAGAGAGTAAATGACTGAATTTCTATGTGGATTATGTATTTCATGTAATAATAACAATGACCTTTGTACTAAAGGGGTAAAATGATCATATGTAAGAGGCTGAAACCAAAGATGGGAGGTGAGTTTTTAAGAAAGATACAGTGAAAAGATGGAAATTGGGAGCAGAGCCTGGAGATTTCCCGATCACACAGTCAAGGTAATTTTGAGAAAATCACTTCTGTCTAGAAATAGTTAACATCTATCTACTTCCAAAGAGTGTTCTAAGAGTTGAATGAGCTAATATATGTGAAAGTGTACTATAAACTCTGAAGAGTTATAAACACCTCAGATAACATGTAGGCCAGCCAGTTCCTGTCTTTTAGCCGGTACCATAATTCTCTGTGGCTTTCCTTCCATCCTTCAAGTCCTGACACTCCCAGTCAGTTCCCAGGTTGCTTCTCAAACCCATCTATTTCTAGCTTGTTCTCACTTGGGTAAATATAATAGATCACTTCCATAATTTGTTCACTATTATGTTCTTGCTGCTCCAAATAGACCCTGCCATAGTGCATACTTAGTAAATATTTGCTGAAAGAATGGTGTATTTTTTTCTGCCTTCTGTGTCTCTCAGCATGAATTTATTGTGTTTGTGTGTTTTATGTTTCTAAAACCCCATTTTGAAGATTTTACTTTTATTTTTTCTTTAATTTGGGGAAGGAAAAGGTAAAAGCCCAAGTACATAGAATAACATGACAAACATTTGTACACTGAAACTAAGAGTAGAAATAATATCCAGGAGTAATTCTCTACAGGCTGCCTCCAGAGAGGGAGTTTCTTTGTGCAGTGTCCCATTGAAACTGGCTTCTGCCAAGTGCTTGAACCATAATTCTGTACAGTGCAAGACTTGGGCCCCCGGCAACCAATTGCCATCATGCCAGGAGAGAACTGGTGCTTCAACAAACAATAAATGCTAACGTGTTGGCTAATCCTGTTGACAACTGGCTTCATCACTTGCTATAATTGCAAGGCTTGGATCCCAGGTGCCTGTTCATGCCAGCCACCAGACTGATGTTACCCCAAACCATAAATCCTGACTTGATAGGATAGGGCTGCAGCCAATGTTCTGCTATGTCACAGCACAATTGTATTCTGGTTTTTTATCACATCAGGGAGGGGCCAGAGTTTCAGAAATCTCATCCCTCAAAACCTCCATAGTCCAAGGATCCCCTTTCCCCCTTCCTCC